CCCCCGCTCGTTCGCGCCCGTTGTGGCCCCATGTGCATGCCCTTCGTGGCCCCGCTGTCGCCGTTTGTGGCCCCCTCATTGTCCTACGTGGCCCAGGTGCTACCCTCAGTGGCCCCATCGTTGCCTTCTGTGGCCCCGCATTATCTGCCCTTCGTGGCCCACGCTCGTTCGCGCTCTTCGTGGCCCCATACGCATTCCCTTCGTGTCCCCGCTGTCGCCCTTCGTGGCCTACTTCGTGTCCTTCGTGGGTCTGCTGTCGTTCTCTCTCGTTCTTGCTTTCGCTCGTCGTCGTCGTCGTCGCCGTCGCCGTCGTTGCCGTCGTCGTCGACGTCGTCGTCGTCGTCGTCGTCGTCGTCGTCGTCGTGGTCGGTCCCCTGTCAGTCCCTCTTGGGGTCGGGTCGACGGTCCGCGGCCGCCCCGCCGATCAGCGCTGCCGCTGGCCAGGCCGACTGTCCGCGGCCGCCCCGCCGCTTGCCGGGGCCCGGCCTGCAGGGAAGAAAGGTATACCCCCCAAAAGGAGTTCGATCGAAGACGAAAAGGGCGGGTATCGAGGGTTTGGGAAATTCGCGTGATTCGACACTCGAGCAGACAAGGGCGAACAGTCTTAAAATGATTGTTGTTGTTGTTGTTGTTGTTGTTGTTGTTGTTGTTGTTGTTGTTGTTGTTGTTGTTGTTGTGGTTGAACTTTCATTTCTGAAGAGTAATTCTTGTTTATCCCCCCCCACCGGTGCATACGGTTTTTTCTCAATCAAAGTGTGCCCCTCGACGCTCGCACCTGGTTTTTTGTCCAGGAAAGTCTTGAGGTTCAAACTGTGCCCCTGGCCCCCGGGTTACAACAACAACGGCTCCCGCCTGAGACTTCCTCACATTTTAGCCAAGACCCCCGTTCTCGCCCGAGACGTCTTCGCATTTTATTCAAGAATCGCGCTCTCGCTGGGGACTTCCTTACAATTATTAAGGAATCGCTCTCCTGGCGTTCTGGAGTCGCGCTCTCGCTGGAGATTTGCTTGCAATCTACGGAAGAATAGCGCCCTTGCGCTGGAATTTCTTGCAATTTACTCCAGCGCCGCGCTCCCGACACCCAGGCACCCAGGAGTCGCGCTCACGCTTAGGACTCCCTCACAGATTACCTCGGAATCAGGATCTCGCTGCCCTTCGTGGCCCCGTGGCAGCCTTTCGTGGCCCCCTCGATTTGTTTCGTGGCCCCGCTGCAGCCCTTCGTTGCCCCCTCGCTGCCCTTCGTGGCCCCGTTACAGCCCCTCGTGGCCTCCTCGCTGCCTTTCGTGGCCCCGTTGCAGCCCTTCGTGGCCCCCTCGCTTTGTTTCGTGGCCCCGTTGCAGCTCTTCGTGGTCCCCTCGCTGCCCTTCGTGGCCCCGTCGGAGCCCTTCGTGGCACCGCTGTCGCCCTTCGTGGCCCCCTCGCTGCCCTTCGTGGCCCCGTTGCATCCCTTCGTGGGCCCCTCGCTGCCCTTCGTGGCCCCATATATGTATGCCCTTCGTGGCCCCCGCTCGTTCGCGCCCGTGGTGGCCCCATATGCATGCCCTTCGTGGCCCCGCTGTCGCCCTTCGTGGCCCCCATCGCTGCCCTTCGTGGCCCCGTTGCTGCCCTCAGTGGCCCCGTCCTTGCCCTCCGCGGCCCAGTATACGTATGCCTTTCGTGGCCCCCGCTCGTTCGCGCCCGTTGTGGCCCATGTGCATGCGCTTCGTGGCCCCGCTGTCGCCGTTTGTGGCCCCCTCACTGTCCTACGTGGCCTAGTTGCTACCCTCAGTGGCCACATCGTTGCCTTCTGCGGCCCCGCATTATTTGCCCTTCGTGGCCGTGTCCCCGCTGTCGCCCTTCGTGGCTTACTTCGTGTCCTTGTGGCCCTGCTGTCGTTCTCTCTCGCTCTCGCTTTCGCTCGTCGTCGTCGTGGCCGTCGTCGTCGTCGCCGTTGTCGTCGACGTCGTCGTCGTCGTGGTCGGTCCCCTGTCCGTCCCTCTTGGGGTCGGGTCGACGGTCCGCGGCCGCCCCGCCGATCAGCGCTGCCGCTGGCCAGGCCGACGGTCCGCGGCTGCCCCGCTGCCTGCCGGGGCCCAGCCTGCAGGGAAGAAAGGTATACCCCCCCAAAGGGGTTCGATCGAAGACGAAGAGTGCGGGTATCGAGGGTTTGGGAAATACGCATTTGGGACATTCGAGCAGATAAGGGCGAACAGTCTTAAAGTGACTGTTGTTGTTGTTGTTGTTGAACATTATTTATTCTAAAAAATAATTATTGTTGGGCCCCCTGGTGCGCGCCCCCCCTGCGCCGCCTAGGCCGCAGCTACATTTTCATCATTTTCGTGAGGAAGCCTCAGAAAAGAGGGTGTGTCAGGATCCGGTTGTTTTGTTGTAATCCGCTTTCCCTTGCAAAAAACAATAGAAAATGACATTTCTTGTTCTAATATAATCAAATTTCAAGAATCCCTTGCAAAAAATAAGGTAAAGTGGACATTCGCGCGCGCAAGACGAAATCCTTCCAAAACTTAGTGTTCGCAGCGATTTTAACATAAAAACATCAAAAAACCAATGGTTTTTCAACAAAAAAATTGTCAAAATCTCATCCCGCGCGCTCTTGCGGATTCGTAGGAAACCCAACACTTTTTAAACATTTCTGTCAAACGGGCTTTTGCGAGCAACTTTTTCGAACTTCTGCAACAACGGTTGCGCGCATGCCAGGGCCATCATCCCTGTCAAATAATACCATATTGGACACATTCGTTTTTTCTTCGCGCGCGCACGCCGTCGTCGTCGGCCGCGGGGCCCTGAATAGTAGCCACGGTCGTCCGCATGCCACGAAGTGAAGTGTCCGAACGTCATAGGGCGGGAAGCTGGGTGTGGGTGGTGGCGAAGAGTCGTATGGAAATTTGGTAGAGCTTGAACCGGCCCCCCCCACAAAGTGGGGGTATTGCCCGCCTCCTATGAAAACCCTGGCACTGGTGAGAACGGAGTGTCCCCAGTCTTAAATGATTGTTGTTGTTGTTGTTGTTGTTGTTGTTGTTGTTGTTGTGGTGGTGGTGGTGGTGGTGGTGGTGGTTGTTGTTGTTGCTGTTGTTTTTGTTGTTGTTGTTGCTGTTGTTGTTGTTGTTTGAGTTTTCATGACGGCAGGATTTGTTATGTCGATCCTCCCCTCTGGTAACCATCGTCGTCCTTTTTATTTATAGTGCTTCTCCTGGGGCTAGCACTTTTTTTGTTTTTTCATTTTTTCTTTTTTCTCCAATGGAAAGTGACGGGCCCCCAAACTGGCCCCGTGGCGTCTGGTTAACAATAACAGCGGCTCCCGCGTTATACTTCGTCACAATGTCTTCCCAAATCGCGCTCTCGCGCGGGACTTCCTGCCAATGTATGAAGGAATCGCGCTCTAGCGTGGGACTTCCTCGCAATTTATTCAAACGCCGCGCCCTCGACACTCAGGAGTCACGCTCTTGCTGTGGGTTTCCTCACGATATATTTGGGAATCACGCTGTCGCTCGAGACATCCTCGCGATTCATGGAAGACGCACGCTTCAGCAATCCGCCTGCTCGACCTTGCCGCCTGGGCCCGCCTTCCCGACGTGCCCGCTGGGGTCTACCCGCCCGATCTGCCCGTCGGGTTCTGCCAGGTGTTTTCTGCTCCTATCGGCCCTCCTGCTACTTTCTCTCTCTCTCTCCCTCTCTCGTGCTTTATTTCTCTTCCCCTTATCCCTTCCTTCCATCCGTCCTCTCTTCCTCTACCTTCGGGGCTGCACGGAATACACGTTGCAGGTAAGACAGGTATACCCCCAAGGGTGTACGACCGAATTTTATGAGGGCGGATCTCGATGGCTTGGGATATTTGTATTCGGTGGTACGCCATCCGATGAGAGCGCAGAGTTCCAACCTGATTGCTGTTGTTGTTGTTGTTGTGGTTGTTGTTGTTGTTGCTGTTGTTGTTGTTGTTGTTATTGTTGTTGTTGTCATTGTTGTTGTTGTTGTTGTTGTTGTTGTTGTTGTTGTTATGGTTATTGTTGTTGTTATTGTTGCTGCTGCTGTTGTTGTTGTTGTTGTTGTTGGTGTTGTGGTTGGTGTTGTGATTGTTGTTGTTGTTGTTGTTGTTGTTGTTGTTGTTGCTGTCGCTGTTGCTGTTGCTACTGCTGCTGCTCTTGCTGTTGTTCTCTTCCTCCCTCTCTCTCTCTCTCCCTCCCTCCCTCCCTACCTTCCGTAGCCGTTTTGGCTCAAGTCTCCATGTCGCTCTGCGGCGGCGTGGAGACCTCTGATCCGAGGACATGCCCCGGCTGTTTGCTCGGACCCTGTCCTCGCGCGGGTGCATCATTCACCCGTGGGAGAGCCGGCCGCCCTGTGCATGCATGGCTCCTCAGAAGAGGGCGAAAAGAGGCAAGGATAAGGCGAAGGGCGCTTTGGCCGCGGATGGCGCTGAGGCCCTGGTCAGCGACGTGCCTGAGGATGATGTGTTGCTGGGCGTCGCGATGCGTTTATCACGAGTCTGGTGGACAACCTGCGCACGGATCTCATGGAAAAGATCGAACCAAAAGGTCCCGGAGTCTATCTCGGCCGCCGTGGCAACAGCTGTCGACCCAGTGCAGGCCGCTCTCTCCTCCCTGCAGTCAGCGCTGGGAGTCGTGCGCGGCAAGATCACGGCGCAGGTCGACCAGGCCGTCCAGGAGTCGGTCCGCCCGCAGCTCGAGAACGCCACGAGGAGGTTCCAGGCGCAGCTTGACGCGCAGGCCCAGCGGCTCGGCGCGCCCGAGAAGGCATCCGACAAGCATGCGGCGGAGATTGCGGCTGTCAGGGCTGAGATGGCTGAGCTGCGGGCTGCCGTGGCGCTGGCGGACAAGCGTCCGTAGCTGCCCGCCCCCGCGGGCCCTCCGCGGGACCGGGAGCCGGACCCGACCATCATCAAGGTGTTGCGCGGACGTTTGGGCAAGAAGGTGGACGTCCAGGCCCAGCTCGACCCGTGATTGGCGGACTTGCGCATCAATGGCGGCCACTACAAGCTCGAGGGTGCGATGGCCAGCAAGTCCTTCACGCTCCGGTGCCCAGGCGCGGTGGGCACTGCGTCCCGTCGTGCTTGCAAGGCTCTTGCAGGACTCCGTGGCAAGGGTGGGTGGATTGAGTTTCACGCGCCGTTGGCGGCGGGGTCTGGATCGCTGCGCCTCAACCTCGGGCCCGACAAGAATGGCAAGCATATCGAGACGGAGGTGCAGCTCAAGAAAGCTCAGGCGGCGCTGGCTGATGCCTTTGCGGGGCGGCCGTGGTTCGTCAGCCGCGAGAAGGGCAAGCTGTCGACTTCGTGGACGATGGTGGAGAAGGGGGCGCTGTCGACTTCGTGGAAGCCCAGCCTAACAACGAGTATACTATTATCAAGTACAACCATGCGGGGCTCAGTCACCTCTGCTTCGCTCGCGAGGACGTTGCGCAGGCTCTGAAGCAGGTGGCGGCGCCGGCTCTGGAGCCCGAGTAGTGTCTTTGACCCCTTCGGCCGCGTGCTCGTACCTCGTGCCCATGGTGTTGGGGGCCGGCCGCGCTGTGGCACAGTGCGCGTGGTGGCGTGGAATGCGAGGGCGTTCCTCCAGTGGGGGGTGGGGGGGGGCTGAGCAGCGCGAAACTCAAGTACCTGCAGAGCCCTGGGGTGCGGATCTATTTTTCTTTCTCTTCAAGAAGTTCGGCAAGATGTACGTTAAGACTGCGATTTTTTGAAACGGGTTGTCCCTGGATCAGACGTCTTCACAAGCTGCTTTACTCGTGATGGAGTGGGTTTCGCTTGTGGTGGGGTGGCGACTGCTGTTCCTCGGGCTCTGGGGGTGTCAGTGGAACCTGGAAAAATTGTTCGTGGTCGGGTTCTCCGACTTCGCATGCGTAATCCTTCCTCGGGCCACGAGATTTTGCATGGGAATATTCGCAACCGCGCGTTGTCCGCGAGCACTGTCGGTGTCTTGAGTCGGAGGCTGCTGGAAGACAGAGCTTGGGCGGTGGCGGGGCCATGGTGCCGCCTCCTTATCGTGGTGGGGGACTTCAACTTCGCCAGTGAGTCCCGCTCGTTGCGCGATGCTCCCGTGGCTGCTCAGCGGCGGCCCCTCCCGTTGCACGCGGCGGCGAAGCCTTGGGCGGCGGCGCTGGATGTGCTGGCGGAGCTCCGCTCGCCGATGCCCGCGCATTACTTCAAGAGCGGCCGCGCCGTCTCATGCGTCGATCGGATCTTCGCGTCGTGGCCTGGCTGGGTGCCGTGCCAGCCGCAGAAGAGCATGCGCGTCCGCGGCTGCCCTGTTGATCGCGAGCGGCGGCGGATCAGTGGCCGTGCTGCTGTCAGTGCGGGGTTTGGTCAGAGGGCGGCGCTTGATCGTGGGCAGCAAGCCGTCCCGCAGGCTGTCCTCAAGGGCCCGAAATACGCATAGTACGTGAGGGCCATCGTGGATGGGGCTGGAGGTCGAGGAGCTGTCTCCGCCGCGGCGCTTGGAGTTCAGGAAGGAGGTGATGGGGGCTGCCGCCGCGGAGGTCCAGGCTCGCATCCTCGGGGGTTTCGGGCGGCCACTCGCCGGTGACCTTCGGGGGCCCGCTGCCCGGGCTCCTCAGTCGTCCTCTGCCGAGTGCGCGGGGTCACTGGCTTTGCCTGCCTTCGTCCAGCAGCAGGTCGCCCGCGTGATGGCAAGGGTGATCTGGCGCCAGGACGTGGCTTTGGCCAGGAGGCTGCGCGACCAGTTCGAGGTAGCCGCCACCCATTTGCACGTCGCGGAGTCTGCGGTCACGTTGCTGGATCCCGAGGTCTATGCAGTCTGGGCGAACGACGTCCACGCTTCGATCCTCGGCGCGGAGCGCGAGGTGCGTCTGGCCACTGCCGCGCGCGGGCGTCGCGCGTCGGCCGCCATTGGCAAGGCGCGCGCCCTGGAGCGGAAGATGAAGATGTAGTCGCCTTTCGCCTCTTGCGTTACCCTGGCGGCGGTGGAGGTGGGCGACGAGGAGGTGACGGAGCCTCGAGCGCGGGCTGCTGCCTTGTCCAGCTACTGGGCGCCCGTCTTCTCGCGCAAGGTCCGGGCCCCTCTGGGCGCGCAGAGGTGCGTGGACAGGATGATCAAGTCGTTCGACTTCTCGACCGCGCCGCCGCCGTCGCACGAGCTCATGGCGAAGGTGGCGCGTCAGGCGGCGCGCTCGGCGCCGTGCGTCGACAGGCTCCCCTGCAGTGCGTGGTGTCGACGGGCGCTGTGCCGGGCCCCCCGACCAAGTTCGCGCGCTGGGCTTGCGCAACTTTTCGAGCAATATTCTCGCGGCCACGGTGAACTTGGCGCTGCAGGAGCCGCTGGCGAAGATCATCCGCTCTCCCAGAACGGCTGTGTACGGGGGCGGGACTTCGGGTGCAATATCTTGGAGGTGGACCTGGAATCGCGGTGGTAGAGCGCTCAACCTGACGTGGCGCAGAAGTCGCCGATCACGGTGAGCTTCGACTTCGCGCAGGCGTTCCCATCGCTGAGCCAGCTCTTCCTGGTTATGGTATTGCGCAGGTTCGGTTTTCTCGAGGCCGTGATCGAGTTCGTTATTGAGCTGTGTGGGGCGGTGCTTGCGGTGGCGGCCATTGCCGGCGTCGTGATCCCTCTCTCCTGGCAGTGATCTGGGATCATCCAGGGCGACGGCCCCCCGGGGTCGCTCTTCGCCGTCGCCATGTCGCCCTTTCTCTTCGACGCCGAGGTTGACGTGGAGAAGAAGGGGCATGGGATTGTGCGAGCCTGCGCGGACGACGTGGCGGCGGCGCTGGTCGCCTTCGTGCGCAAATTGCGCATGCTCCGCGTAATGAGATGCGCGGGGAGGCTTGCGACTCTGGTCTTGAAACCGAGCAAGTGCCACGTGGTTCCCACGTGGGCGGCCTTCAGCGAGCCCCTGCAGTCCAAGTTCCGGGCGATGCTGGCCCGGCACGTGCCGCAGTGAGCGAACTTCAAGGTCGCGTCCTGCCTCTTCTTCCGGGGCCTGTGGGTTGGCCCCGCAGTGGTGCTGAAGATCGCCTGGCGCGCCCGACGCGCTCGCGCTGTTGGGGGCGGTGTCACCTCCGTCGCGACGTCGGCCCGGTGCTGCGCAACGAGGGCACCCCCCCGTGTAGGGGTATGTCAGACAGTGCTTGCCGCTCCCGTGGAACTTCTGGCGCCAGGGGCCCACGGCCTTGGCCGCGCTTTTCAAGATGCCGATCGGTGCCCCCGCGGTGAAGTACTGGGTTCAGGTGAACGGGGTTGGGCGGGGCCGCGCGTGCAGTCGGTGCACCTCTCGACGGTGTCGGCCCTCATCCGGGCCGACGGCGCTGCGCTCTTGCAGTTCCGAGCGCTTCTTTCTCGACGCCGGCGCCGCGTGGAAGACGCCGTTGACTGCGTGCCGTTGCCGATGTCCTCCTTGCGGGCGTTGGCTCCCCACTGGTGGAAGCTGCCCTCGCATGCGGAGTTCATGGCCGACGCGCTGGGGGTCGTTGCGCTGCCCGAGGGGGCCAGCCACCCGCAGGCTCTTCTGAGGGTTGGGCGCTAGGCATTGTTAGAGGCTGGGCTGCGGGGGAGGGGGCCAATGGCGCAGCGGCGCGCGCGCGCGGCGGTGGAGTTTGTCAGGCTTGAAGGGCGCGACCTGTCGCAGACATTTGAGCGGCGGCTCTTGAAATGGTGGTCAGTATTGTCCGAGAAGATGCGCGCCATCCCGTGGGGCCAGCTCGGGGATTTGTCTCGACGGCGTCGCCGGCCTGGGCCTTCCAGGTCATCCGCTCGTTCTCCAGCGGCTGGCTCACGCCCCGCAGGATCCTCGATGCCCGGGGGCGCCGTTCCTGCATCCTCGGCTGCGACGCGCCCGATTGCTTGTGAACTGCGACCGCCTCTCTTGGGCTGTGTCGCTGGCCTTGGGCGGGGTGCTGCCTGGCGGCCGCTTCATCGAAGGGGGGCCTCTCTTGTAGCTCGGCCCGGGAACGGTGGCCGAGCAGCCGCTGGATGCCGATCGGTTCGAGCACGTGGTACTGGCGTCTCACTTCTGCCACTCGTCGCGGCAGGAGTTTTTCGTGCCGCCCGACGATGCGCTGGCGCTTGCGCGGGCTGCGCTCCGTGCCGCCCGGCTGAGTGCTGCTCCGGCGCAGCGCGCGAGGCAGGCTGCTCGCGGGGGCGCGAGGGCCGCGGTGGCCAGCGGCCGCTAGCCGGTGGGAGAACTCATTCCGATGCTACCCTGGTTTCTGCCTTGCCGTTTCGGAGGAGGCGAGGGCTCTGCTTTGCCTAAGAGCCCGTCGGAGTCTTCGGCGGCACGCAGAGTTCTGGGTGGCGCGGGGTGGGTGGGCCTTCTGCGAGGGCAGGGGATTCTCAGTGCCCCCCTGGGCTTCCAGGAGGCCTTCTCAGGAGTCGCTAATTTCTCCTGCAGTCAACCTTGACGTGTAAGGATGAGCGGTTTTCCAGGGTTGCCCTTGCGTCCCTGCCATTCGGCCCATCCTTGGCCACTCTCGCCGGCCGCGCTCCGCTCGAAAGGTGTCGACATGGCCATCCCAGGCCCTTGCATCCTTACATGCGTTCCGCGCATTCTTATTACCCGTGTTCATTGTAAACGGCCTCGCGCCAGATGGCGCGCCCCTCACCCCCCCGCCTCTGGCGGGCCGCCAGGGCCGCTAGGCCTTTGGCGGCTTGGCTTTCTCGATGTGGGCGCGCTCTCCCTTGAAGCTCGGCGGCGAGCCTGGTGGGGAAGTGAGCAGGGGAAGTGAGAAAGAAAATGCCTTCTCAGAAGGCTCGGAAGTCCTCAGGCCTTTGAGAAATTGTCAAAGCCTTCTCCGAAGACAGGCCGGAAGGCTTTTGAGAAGTCCCGCCGCCTTCTGAGGAGGCGTTCTCCTTCTCATCTCCCCCCCGTGCTCGCTACCGAAAGGAGGAGAAGGACGAGGATGAGGATGAGGATGAGGATGAGGATGAGGATGAGGATGAGGATGAGGATGAGGAGGAGGAGGAGGAGGAGGAGGAGGAGGAGGAGGAGGAGGAGGAGGAGGATGGAGGGGAGGAGGACGAGCAGGACGAGCAGGAGACGAGAGGAGGAGAGGAGGAGGAGGAGGAGGGGAGGAGGAGGGAGGAGGAGGAGGAGGAGGAGGAGGAGAGGAGGAGGAGGGGGAGGAGGAGGAGGAGGAGGAGGAGGAGGAGGAGGAGGAGGAGGAGGAGGATCAGGATCAGGATCAGGATCAGGAGGAGGAGGACGTGGAGGAGGAGGTGGAGGAGGAGGAAAAGGAGGAGAAGGAGGATCGAGGACCGACGAGGATCGAGGATCGAGGCCTTTCCCTTCTCACCTCCCCCCCCTTCGTTCGCCGCCGAGGAGCGCTCGCGCCAGAGGTCTCTCG